TTCCCCCCCCCAGTGCTGTGCTGTGGGGGGACATGGGGGTCCCAGGCTCTCTTCCCCCCCCCAGTGCTGTGCTGTGGGGGGACGTAGGGGTCCCAGGCTCTTTCCCCCCCCAGTGCTGTGCTGTGGGGGACGAGGGGGTCCCACGCTCTCTCCCCCCCCCCCCACGTGCTGTGCTGTGGGGGACATGGGGGTCCCACGCTCTCTCTCTCTCTCCCCCCCAGTGCTGTGCTGCGCCGGCGGGTTCCTGTTGGGTCTGATGTTCGTGCAGCGCTCGGGCAGCTACTTTGTCGCCATGTTCGACGACTACTCGGCCACCCTGCCCCTGGTGGCCGTCGTGTCCTGCGAGGCCATCTCCGTGGCCTGGGTCTACGGGACAGACAGGTACCCGCCCCCCTTCCTCCCCGGGGGTCCTTTCCCTCCCCCTCCACCCCTCCTCCTTGGAGTGCCTCCCTCCCCCCTGGGGCCTAGCTCTATGGGGCGCACAGGTACCCCCTCCCAGGCCCTGCCTCCCACCCCAGGAGCCCTTCCCCTGGACCCCCCACCCCACTGGGCCCAAGCCCTGAACCCGCCCCCCGACCTCTGCCCTCCCCCCTGTGTCCGGGCTCCATAGGGGGGTTGGGGAGCCCCAGGCTCGCCCCCCTCCCCCACGGCTGACCCCTGCCCCCCCGCAGGTTCCTGGCGGAGGTGGAGGACATGCTGGGCTGGCGGCCCTGGCGCAGGGGCTGGCGGCCCTGGCGTCTCTACGGCTACATGTGGCGTTATGGCAGCCTGCTGGCCATGCTGGGGCTGCTGCTGGCCAGCCTGGGGCAGATCTGCCACAGCCCCCCCACCTACCAGGCCTGGGACCGGGCGCAGGTGAGACGCCCCCGCGGGTGGGTTGGGGCTGGGCAGGGAGCCGGGACGCCGGCGTGGATGGGCCCATGGGGCTGGTCTGGCCGGGGAGCCGGGATGTGGGGGCAGAGGGGTCCGTGGGTCGGGGCTGGGCAGGGAGCTGGGACGCCCGCGTGGATGGGCCCATGGGGCTGGTCTGGCCGGGGAGCCAGGATGCAGGGGCAGAGGGGTCCGTGGGTCGGGGCTGGGCGAGGAGCCGGGGCGGAGGAGACCGCAGGTCGGGGCTGGGCAGGGAGCTGGGACGCCCGCGTGGATGGGCCCATGGGGCTGGTCTGGGAGGGGAGCCGGCATGCGGGGGCAGAAGGCTCCGTGGGTCGGGGCTGGTGAGGGAGCCAGGACCCTGGAGGAGATAAGTCCGCGGGTCGGGTCCAGGCGGGGAGCTGGGACTCTGCGGTGGAGGGGCCTGCGGGTCGGGTCCAGACGGGGCTGAGTGGGGAGTGGTGGAGGGGCCTGCTGGGCCGGGAGCCGGGATGCCGGGGTGGAAGGGCCCGCAGGTCAAGGCTGGGCGGGGAGCTGGGGCGGAGGGGCCTGTGGGGCTGGGCGGGGAGCCGGGACTCCAGGGTGGAGGGGTCCGTGGGTCGGGGCTGGGCGGGGAGCTGGGACGCTGAGGCGGAGGGACCTGCGGGGCTGGGAGGGGAGCCGGGACGCCAGGGCAGATGGGCACATAGGCCCTGGCAGGTTTGACCCTTGGCCTCTCTCGCAGGCGGAGGAGACGCGGGTGCCGTACCCACCCTGGGCGCTGGCCATGCTGATCTTGCTCATCGTCCTGGCCACCCTGCCCATCCCCGCGCTCTACATCCGGCAGCTGGCGTGGGAGTGGCAGGCGCGGCGCCGCCAGCGGGGGGCACCCCCCAGAGTGGAGCCGGAGGAGGAGGAGGAGGAGAGCCCGGCTGACCCCGAGTGCTCGGCCAACGGGTACCTGCCCGTCCGCACCCAGGAGCCCCCCAAGGGGGGAGAAGAGGCCGGGGCCTCCCTACTGGGGGGGGCAAAGTAATGGGGGGATACGAGGGGGTAGAGGTCAAAGGTCATTGGAGGGGAGCATCTGTGACCCCTCCCCGTGGGTGGGGCTGGCTCCCCCTGGTATGTGCCCCCCTGCCCAGGGCGGGCACTGGGCTCGATTGGTGGAGCTGGGAGAGAGCCAAGGACTCCTATTGGTGGGTCGAAAGAAGGCGCCTTCTCTGATTGGTGGAGGGGGAAGCGCTGATCACTTGGCGCCTGGAGCCAAAGGACCAATAAGGGGAAGGAAGAACAAAGCAACCCCCGATTGGTGGACTTGTGTGGCACGGCAGCCTCTGATTGGTGGACTGAGGAGGATTTCTCCCCCTGCCCTCTAATGGAGGAGGCAGTGAGGGGGAGACCAACTGCAGTGCAGGGTCTTCCCCTCCCCCCACTCTCCACTCGAGGCGGCCATGTTGTTCCCGCGGCGTTGGCCGGGGGCAGCCATGTTGTCTTCCTCCCAGTGCCGCCCGTGCCCCGCTGAGGCGTACGTCCCGTCCTCTGTCCCAGAGGGCCTGGCCGTTGGGGCCTTCTTAGAAACATGGTGCTAACTAACCCCTCTGCTGTCGGGGCTGGAGCCACCAGCCCCCCACTCGTGCCAAGCCTGGCCTAGCTGGGCCCCACGCAAGTGCCTAAGCCTCTGGGGCAGACGGGGGCGTCTACTGCCAAGATATGGGGCCAGATTTCGTTGTTGGGGGCCAGGCCATTGACAGCCACAGCCCGAGGGCCCCCCTGCTGCCGCCCGTCTCACCAATGAGGGTTGAGGGGCAGGTTCATCCTGCCGGGAAGGGGGGGAGGGGCGGTGTCTGCCCCATAGCGCGTGCGTGGAAACGGTGTACAATGGGGGCGAGTCTAGGGTAGTGGGACGGGAGGCCTGGTGAAGCAGCTGCTATTTACATCCGTTGCTGCCACACTGCGGAGGGGAAAGCCCAGGCTGCATCCAGCTGCTGTCTACACTAATGGTAGCAACAGTGCCATGGGGGAGCCGGGGCTGGGGGGCTGGCTGGCCCTACTGGATCTGGCTCCCGCATTGCACTGCTCTGGACTGGGAGGGGCGGCAGTCGGACACCTGGGGCCTCTTTTTAAAGGGAAAGTTGCCACAATGCTGCTGGTCCTGGCATATTTTGGTTGTCCGAGGGGTGGGTCTTATTCCCCCTCCTGCTAATGGGGGGAGGGGTCACCCCATAGGATCCAGGGCTAAGAACAGAGAGGGGCTGAGCCCCACAGCATTAATGTATTGTCATCTAGCCATTCCCCCTCCATCCCTCACGCCATCCAATCGCCATCTATCCACCCCCCATGGCTCCATTCCCCTCGTCCCCCTGCCCCAAGGTGCCTCGTTAGCTCGCCTGGGCTCAGCCCTTCTCTGCGTCTGACCCACCGGCCCTGGACGGAGAAGATTCTGTCTGACAGACACTACCAGACTTACCCGACAGCCACAACGGTACGTGCCGGGAGGGGGCTGGGCCAGGCCTCCGGCCTCCTGGGTTCAATTCTTGCCCTGGCCACCGGCTCCCCTGCCTTACTGGGCCTCAGTTTTCCCCATCTTTAAAATGGGGGTCGCGCTTCCTTGATCTGTTTAGATTGTAAATTTCTCAGAGCAGGGCGATCTCGCTGGGGTACTAAGCAGTGTGGGGGGGTGGTATCTGGAAATCTCTTGCCCGCTGTGGGAGTTCTCGCTGGCCCGCGGGGGCCAGGGATGGGCTGGATTCCACGGGGGGACGGGGAACCACAGCCCCTCAGCAGGTGGGCGCGGGAGGGTGTGTTACTGACTGTATTGTTTTCACGGTGCTATTCTTGCCTGAACAATAAAGATGTTTTGTTCACGCCGAGCAGGGTGGTGATTGCGGGCCCACGGGCAGAGACCAGAGGGCGGGCGCTGGCCTGCTCTGCCAGCCTGGCCACACCCTAGGCAGGAGCCAGGGAGCCACAGGTGATGGCGGTGGAGCCAGGCGAGGAGCTCTGGCTAGGCCGTGTGGGGAAGATGTGGGGGCAGCGGCCCTGCCCGATACGCTGGGGTCATGTGGGGCCGAGGTGCTGGCTGCTCCCTGGCGATACGCCATGGCATGCGGGTGGCACCAGCTGTGCCGCCCCCAGCACTCCACACTGGCACTGCTCAGTCGTGCCAGTAGGGCAATGGAGTGGGGCCAACGCCTGCCTCTCGCAGCTCACGGGCATGTGGCTGAGGCTCTTGTCTGCAATGCCGGCAGCATGGCCCCCAGCCAGGCGGGTCTCGTCCCCGGGCTCACGGCGCGGCCCCTGGCCGGGCGGGTCTTGTCCCCGGGCTCACGGCGCGGCCCCCGGCCGGGTGGGTCTCGTCCCCAGGCTCACGGCGCGGCCCCTGGCTGGGCGGGCCTCGTCCCCAGGGCTCATGGGGCAGGGGACATGTCTGGGCTGTGGGAGGGGCACAGACAGGATCGGGTCACGAAGGGGTCAAAAGGTCAGAGCTGGGTCGGAGGTCACTCGAGTCAGGCAATGGGGGGTGGGGTTAGAGGTCACATGGGATGGGGGCCCAGGGAGGGTCACATGGGTTCGGGGGGGCAGAGGTCATGGAGAGGGTCACATGGAATCGGGGGTCAGGGCGGGGACAAGGGTTGGGGGGTCACAGAGGGGTCATAGGAAGGTCAGGGCTGGGCCACAGGGGTCAGAGGTCACAGAGGGGTCAGAGGTCACAGCCCCTCACTCGTTTCTCTGTCCCTCTAAGTCCCCCTACGTGCGACGTCACTTCCTGGTGCCCCCCCATCACGTGCCCCCGCCGGTTCCCTTCCGCCCGCGTGACGCGGGGGACACGTCACCGCCCCGCCCGTCGCTTCACGTGACCCCCCCCGGCTCCTCCCCCTCCTGGCCGCGCGGGTCACGTGAGCCCGGCGGGCTGCGGTCACGTGGGGGCGGCGATGGCGGCGGCTCCGGGCGGGGAGAGGGAGAGCGGCCGGGGGGGCGCGGTGAGCGGGGGGCGGACTCGGACGCCTGGGGTCCCCCTCCCGGGTGGGGGTGGGCGAGGGGAGCCCGGACGCCCTGGGGTCCCTCGTCGGGGT